AGTGATGGCACGATGGTGCAATGACGATGACGCGATGGTACGATGACGATGAAACAATATTCACTTTTACTCTATCGTTCTATCGCACCATCATCATCGCATTATCGCTTGATCGCATCATCGCTTCATCCATCGTTATCGCACCATCGCGCCATCGACCTATTAGTCGATACTCGATGGTGCGATAGTGAACTGCATTGCCCTATCCGGATTCCATAGGATAGGGCCATGCAGTTCACTATCGCACCATCGAGTATCGACTAATAGGTCGATGGCGCGATAATGAGATGGTGCGATAACGATGAAGCGATGATGCGATGACGATGGAGCTATGGTGCGATAGCGCGAAGACGATGATGCGATCAAGCGATAATGCGATGACGATGGTGCGATAGAACGATAAGGTAAAAGTGAATATTGCTTCATCGTCATCATACCATCGCGCCATCGTCATTGCACTATCGTGCCATCACTATCGCACCATCTTGTTATCGCACCATCGCTTCATCGTGCTATCGCGCCATCGCCATCGCCATCGCTTTATCGCACCATCACTTCATCGTTATCGCACTATCGCAACATAACTTCATCGTTATCGCACCATTGCTTCATCGTCATCGCATTATCGTGTCATCGCATTATCAACCCAAACCTCGATGGTGCGATGATGCGATAGTGAACTGCATGACCTTATCCGGATTCCATAATGACATGGGGTAATAATATCACTGTTTTCATTAAAACTGGAGACTGGGTACCACTCAGCATACACTCCTCCCACATCAATGGGGACTTACTGGTGGGGATGTTGAAATTTACAGAAGCTAAAGGACTGCTTAAAATGAGGAAGAAGAAAGTCAACTCACCCGATACGACAAGACAGGAATGGAACTACAGAACATACAGAGGGATAACAAAGGCCATGGACTGTATAATATACCATACTACGTCACAGAAAATATCAATGGAGATACCTGTGCATCAGACGTAAATAGAAAAGGAGTAGTGGTGGTAAATAAATCAGGACAACATAGGTTCTCCTACACAGGTCAGGAGTCATGGTTCTATCCCTATAGAATCTGTACTGATGTCCTCGGTCACATCCTTACACTGTTCACCTCCTTGATCAGGACGGTCAGTTCTTGTCTCTATTTCTCACACCACAAGAAGGGGTACACTTTCCCCGTAGTGTGTGTGTGGATGATAATCTCTATTTAGGACAATTCACCAACACACTGACAGTTTACAAGTATCTTAAGTGATTAAATGACTCTCATATTGTTTATTGTATGAAACTTTAAGCTGTCAAGTTAATTGTGTGCTAATTATAAATACGAGATTATAACTATTAAAATGCTTTACTAAAATAAAATGAAATATATCAGTTTGTCAAGAGGAAAGGAATATTTTAACTCTAAAATAAATATTTTACAAAACAGAATAAAAGCTTTTCAATAATTAATATTCGAACAGTTTATGTTCTACCAATTAAAATATTATAACTTAAATCCGACATTATAAAATACTAAGATAGTTATAATTAAGATCCTTTTCTGATCCTTTTTCTGGATTAATTTGAACAAATTTTTAAAAGTGTACATTTGAATTAGAATATTTAGCTTTAAAAAGTTCTAAATAGATAAAGCAATCAATTCTTTCACTACCCAAAATTTCAAAGAAAGATATATAAAAAAAATCTACTGAACTTGCATCATTAATTAATACCATCACGATTTTGGAATTGCATACAAAATAGACATAAACACTGATGACTTAAAATATAAAATATAAGTATTGAGATAGGCATAAGGATACTAAACATTCTTAGAATTTGTGACCCTAAGGAAAATGGAGAATTTGGAAAAACTGAGTTAAATTTGCGGATGGAGGTTCATCTTCTGAAGAACCACTGGGTCAATCTCAATCAAACATGGCATAAAGTATCCTTGTGTGATGGGAATTCAAGTTTATTCAAACGAAGGACCTTGCCCTCTTTGAAGGGGAGATAATTGTGAATCATTGAAAAATAAATGGCATCTTTTGAAAATCTTCAAAGATTGAAGAGCTGGGCCAAGAAAGATGAAACTCATGTGGAAGTATCCTCATGTAGTAAAAGTTCAAGTTTGTTCAAGACATGACCACCGGGGGAAGGGTGGGGCCACAATGGGGTATCAAAGTTTAACATAGGAATACATGGGATAAATCTTTAAAAATCTTCTCAAGAAGCACTGGGCCAGGAAAGATGAAACTCGTGTAGTACCATTAAATATTACACAGAAATCCCTGTTTGGTCATAATTTTATGGATTAAGCATCCTCTGTTAATGTTGATTTATGTTTGTTCAAATCATGACCCTCGAGGGTAGGATGGGGGCATATTTGGGGGTCAAAATTTTACATAGGAATACATGTACAGAATTTTTTTTTTAAAAATCTTATTCTCAGGAACAGCAATGCCATAAATGGTCATAGTTATATGGAAGCATCCTCTGGTAGTGTAGTTTCAAGTTTGTTCAAATCATGACCCCGGGGCAAGGGTGGGGCCATAATGGGTGATCAAAGTAGAATTGCATAGAAAAATCTTTAAAATTCTTCTTCTAAAAAATAGCAAAGCCATGCAAATCACAGATATATGGAAGCATCCAAGTTTGTTCAAATCATGATCCCTCTGGTGAAGAGTGGGGCCACAATGGGTGAACAATGTTTTACGTAGGAATACATTGAAAAACATTAATAATTCTTCACAAAAACAACAAAGCCATGATTGATCATCACTACAAAAGCATCAAAAAGGTAATGTAAATTTAAACGTGTTCACATTGTGACAATTCGAGAACAGAGGAGCCATTAGAGTGGATCATAACAAAGGAATATAAAGGCTTGATCAATAATAACTTTCGGCTTGATCAATAATAATTTTCATCTTATAAAGAGCAAAACCATTATGTGTCATATCAATTCAAAAGCACCGTTAGGAAGTGTTGTTTAAAATTTGTTCAAATCCCCCCCCCAACTTCTTCTAAACCCCATTTTATATTTTTTATTTTAAACTTTTCAATACTGATTTTTGTTTTTACCTAGCCAGATGCTCTGATGAGCGATGTGGCCCATGGGCCTCTTGTTAGAGTATATCTTTTTTACCTAACCTTTGAACTTTAGAATCTAAAGGGGTCCTATTTGGTGTTGTATAAATTTCATTCAAAAATCCCAAAGACTTTCAAAATATCGTTGGAATGAGAGTCATGAACAAACAAATTTTATGATTTCATGACATTGACTTTTTGAACTTCAAAATTACGGGTGTTTTCTTCAAACCGAAAACGATAGTTTTGAGACAGATAGACAGACAGCTAGACGGAATGACATTTGATCGACAGACAGACCCAAATCATTTTCCAGTGAAAGCAGAGGACAACATAAAAAATTTCATTACTTTTAAATGAAATGTATGTACACTTGTGCAAAATCAACCGTTCGTTAATCATTTTCATCTGTTTAATGCCCCCCCCCCCCAACAACAACAACAACACACACACACACACACACACACACACACACACACACACACGGAAAATCTGTGTAAAAAAAATTGAAATCGGTTACCTTCTTGCAAAACTGTTTTCTTAAGTTATTATAGCAACTTTAATACTAAATACCAACATTTTCCAATATTATATTTAGAAATACTATATTTTCTTGGCCAGTAAATAGCACTAAATACCGTATACTATTCTTTGTTCTACTAGGTATGTAAGAATCCCTAGTAAATATCAAGTCACACACATACACGTACATGTATAACAAAACAGGATGTAGATGTGGCACATTTTAATTTCGACAAACTGTGAAATATATAATGACAATGATAAATAAATGGTCAACTAAATAGAAACAAATAATAATCGTACAATCGATAGATACGTGGACGGACATTGTCTTTGTCAACACTATACACCAGACAACTTCTGATGTAAGGGTGGGGGATACAACTTAAGGAACAAAACTGAAATTCATTTCATTGTTCAAAACTAAAGTCATTTAATGATAAAATAATTAAAATCAATTATGTTGAAACTTTCTTCCTGTTTCTAACTGGTTTCAAGATACATTCAATGAAAATATAGAGAATAGATTTACATGATACTTAAATTTGGCCCAAAGAAGTGTTTTGAAGTTTCAATGAAACAAAAAATAATATAATCTTTGAAGATAAAATTGAAAAGAAAAGTAGTATTATTTGAATATTTTGTTTCTACACATGTGCTTCAAAAATTAAATAATATAACAATTAAGTCAAGTCTAACAATTTACAAAGACACAGCACAACTTCCTGGCAAATCATAGGAAACTTTAAAAAATTAAGTTCTGCATTATAAAATCAGTGCAAAATATTGTCATCAAAAAGACAAATAAGTTTTGTAAATGTTGAACCCCCTTTTTCTTTTACTCCTTGCAGGCAATAAAGCAATAAAGCAAAAAAAAAATAAATAAATAAATGTGAAAATAACAAATCACTGGGTAAGGGGGATAACTCTTGGCAATAGTTCAGAATTGCACTCAATTTGTAGTTTATTAAAACATAATTCTTGAATCAAGTATTAATACCCCTTGCACAAAGGAATACTTCTATATATTTAATATGCTTTTATACAAATAATAATTTTCATTCAATTTCATAAAAATGAAAATGGCCGAGAGCAGACTTTACAACTGATTTTTTAAAAGATAAATATGCCATTTAGTGTTAATTTAAATTTTAAAGTTTTATCAGTTCACATTCTTAAAAATTCTTCAAATCAACTTATTAACTAGTTGTTCACTCAATATGTATTTTTAAAAAAGTATAGCACTTTATCCCCAATATTAATAAATAAATTACTTCACACTAATACTGTACATATCACAACTAGATAAGAATAATAATAATTTAGGTAATAATTAAAAATATGGAATTTTTTTAATCAATGTAACTTCTCTTTAATATTTTTTCCTGGTGAAAAAATACAAATTTTGTCTGACATGTTTGAAATCAGAAAATCTTAATTTGATCAAATTTGGAAAAAAAATGTTTGTTTGTGCAAGTATAACAGTGAAATCACCTGAACTAAACACAACAGTAAAGGGACATCACTCTGTTCTGCCTCAAATAACAATCTACTGCTAAAATGTCCCCTCCCAAAAATAAGGTACTGTAACATCTTTTATTTGTCACTAGCATTCGTATACACTTCACAAACTTAAGTATTTTCGTGGCGAAAGCTGGCTTGAGAAATGATGTAACTAACATTCATAAGGATGTCTATAGAAATAGTATTTCTTCAGCCATAAATATTACTGAATATGGCAAATGTGTTTTCTTGCTAGTACAATGTTTTTAACAGTATCCAAGTGGGTTTAAGATAGCAGAGCAAGAGAGATGACAAAAATAAAAAAAGATTGCACAATTGGCAAAGCCAACACCATAACAACAAGTCATATACAATTTTTTTTGTTATAAAAAAATCACTAAAATATAATGTTACACATGTTGAATGTTTTTCCCCCCAATTTATCACAACCACAATATAAAATACAACAAACTGGGATTTTCAAGACTAATGGGGAAAAGGTCTGTTGCCACATGTTTATTTATATGTCATGCAACAACCATATGAAGGGGGTGGGGTATTAAAATGCCCATGTGATATGCATATGGACGGAAAAAAATAAGTCACAATTAGAGTACTTAGGAATCATTTGATATACAAAATCAAATCACAACACCTACATTTAAGCAAAAACACAGCATGAATATTCATATTTCAAACAATTCGATTGTGACCTTGATTATCATATTCATGAATGGTCATGTGATATTTTTTTATCACTTACAAATAAAAACTTTCATTCACATCTGTTAAAATAATCTAACAATTCAGCACAATAAAAATATTTAAAATATTTTCTAATATAATGTCAATTCTCTTAGAGAAAACACCACATGCTCAATTTCTGACAGAAACTGGAATCCCCTATGACCATATCTACTTATGAAGGAAATACTTCAGATCAGTTCTACGTTACAGAGAAGGAATTGTCTACACTTGGTTTTTTATGTACCATAGTCCACTTCAACTGTTCAAAAAAAGCAAAAGGGGGAAAATGTGTCCAGCATAAATAAAATGGTCTATGATATTGTAATATTATGAAAAAAAAATTCAAAAAACAAAGAAAGCCTTTTTACAACAGTTTTCAAATAGAAAAAATAAGGATTAACAATTCTAAGGAGTATATGTTGTAAGTCATAGCAAAGAATGTCCACTACTTGTTTTTCCTAAAGAATTTTTTTAAAATAATGAACACAAAATGAAGATGAGATTGAACACAGTAAAATGTGCATGCAGATTTCTGACCAAGTAAAATAGTTCTGAAAATTTCTGTAACGTATTCCTAGCATGTAATTTTTTAATCTTCAATTACACATATCCTTTATACAACTTATGATAAATATAATATGTGGACCCATTTTTTAAAATAAAAAGTGCAATTTCATAACCAAGTTACAAGTTATCACTTTCACACAAAAAGCAAAGAAACGCTACATTTATTGGCAAAGTTAAAAAAAAAATGATGAGATTGGATTGAGCTGTGATTAAGATGATGGTGGGTGGGGTGGAGATATTGGGGAGGGAGTAGGGGTTATTCACAGGCTAGTTTACTGTCAAAACTACTCAGTGCTATTCCAAAAGCTTGAACAGCACAGAGAGGGTAATTAAAATCCATGGTAAATACATCTTCTGCCACTCGACCAAACTGCATCACAATGTACTCAACTGAAAGCAAGAAGAGAGATGATCATTTTTTTTTTCTAGGTAAAAATATCTTTGACAGAATAAACTTGCATTTTTCTACAAACAAATTTTTTAAATTCCCTTAGAAAATTTACAAAATGGCACTACCATCATTACTGATATGAAAATATCAAAATGAAATTCTTCTGAAATCATCATTGGATATTAACCAAAAAAAAGAGAAAATTTTCACTGTTATTTAATTTCTGCTTTCACAGTATTCATACAAAAAATTGTCTTTTTTGAAATAGTTACTGTCGATTCCTAATTATACACTAGGAAAAAATTATTGCATAATTTCATGAGAATCATCTGTCACAAAATTGAGTTACTTGCTATTAATTTTATGGTGCTGAAATCCATGTAAATTCTCGTTTATTCATGCGAATAATTATTCTCGCAATCTGACATTAAAGAGTCTTTTCGCGATAATAAGTATTTGCAAAAAATAAGGAATTTACAGTACTTTAATATCTACATAGCATCGGCAATTCCTTCCTCTACCTTATCAATCTTGCTGAATAAAAAAGTGGAGTAAATTTACTGGCTTAAGCAGCCTAGTGCTTACCGTCATTGTCATGCACAATTTGGAAATTCTTTACAGAAGCCTGAGTGACACGTCCATGGAAATTTAGCACATATGATTGAGTCTCTACAACAACAAAAAATCGTTTAACAATTAATTGTTATATTCCAATTACTGTTATCAATTCTTTTCATAAGAGAACAGGGAATTAAGCAATGAACACAGATCCTGTACATTTACACTTTCCACATGTACAAGTGTAACTGTTCCAAAACAAGATCAGTAATGATTAATAACTCCCATTTCAAAATCGATTACATCAATAATCTTTTAGTAATTGGATTTCAATAAATAATGATGTATTGCAATATGTGTACTCCACTACTGTGTTGACTTAATTTCATTCTGACAACATACCATCATTCCAGACTGGAGTCTTGTTATGGAGCTCCAGTATATTCTCCATATTCTTCCTCTTGTATCTGTCAATCAAGCCGTCATTGTCCTACAAAACAACAAATCAATATTCATCTTAGTCAGAATCTCATTCATAGTATACAGTTAAGTCCGACTGGTCAATAAATTTCCAAACAAGGATTACTTATGACCTCAATAACACTACCAGTTTGATTATCTGTTGAGAATGTAACATTTTAAATGAATTATCATTCTAAAATTAGATTACTGAACAACTCCAAATGAAGATAAACTTTCTACTGCATGTAATGATTAGATTCCTACGCACCCCCCCCATCTTTATTCTTCATTTTTTCTCTCCCATTTCCATCACCTTCCCCCTTTTCTTGCTTCCAGAATTTTATAACAGTTTTTTTTTTTTTTTTTAAACAAATAGAAGTTTTTCTTGGAGGGCGGGGGGAAAGGGGGGGGGGGTAAGGGGGGAAAGGGCAGTCAATTGATGGTTCATCTTGGAGTCTTCAACTTTTGTCCACAACTCAAAGTTTGAGTATAATCATATAAAAGCAATACTAGTCCCCTACCTCCAAATTTTGCTTCTCAATAGAATTTTTAAAAGTTTAGGTCATGATTCCTTGAAAGTCAATGATCACAGAATTTCAAAGAAATGCAACCTTGATTTGTACCTCATCAAGGTACAGTCGCCTACAAAAATTAAGATTATCATCTGCACACATGGAATCCCTTTTTTATCCAAAGGAACTAATTCCATGGATTTTGTGCTTGTTTGTTTTGTTTTGACTTACAGATCTTGGCTTGATGTCTACTCGTTCATGGTCCAAATTCATTCCAGGAATAATAATGGTCATTTTTCTGGGTCCCTTGAAACCTAAGACATTTGTTTCCTGAAAAAATAAGTCAGAAATGGTATTATCAAATAAGTTACAAATTACCCAAATCTCACCAGTCCAAGAATTGGTATCTTGTGACATGTGAATCTTACACACACACACCCTCCCTTCCCCTAGCTTAAAATATATTCAATAACTAATTCCAGACTTAAGTAAATTATAAATAAACAAAAGATCATTGGTAATACAACAATAGTTGGGGAATAATGATTCAATTCATTGTAAATCAATGACACATTATTTGATATATAGAGATACAATAACATCTTCATTTCATACTTACATAAATAATTCCAACTAATTCTTTTCTAGCGTTTTCATAATTGCTTTTTGGGTTGTCACCATTGTCAAATAACGTGAACTGGGTACCTAATAAGTTGGCCCTAAAAAGTGCAGAGGAACGTAAGATCTTGGCAAATCACACACATATTGAAGAGAAGATAAAAAATAATTTATTAAACAAATCTTTCTTTACTGTACCCAACAGAAATTTAGGTCAAGCCAGCTACAGTAGACTGACAAATTTTTCTGACTTTTTACTTTAACGACAAGGTTCTTTAGTAGGAAATCTATTTATCTTAAAATACTTAAAAGTACTCTAGAATGGCATTTTCACTAGCAGTCAATTTTGTTTTATTATGCCAAAAATAAGTCCTTGCAGATAAAAAGTGTTTTTCTATACAATTCAAAAATACTGTAAAAGTTTAAACTTTAGCGAGACATAAATTTAGCAAGGTGTCCTTATAAATGGTATTTTCTTTTAATCAATATGCAGTTTTAACCATTTTAAAATGCACACAAAGGAAGTTATTACAAATAAAATGCAATCCATTTAGTTTTTAGCAATATTCAATTTTTGCAATCTCGAGATCTCAACACCCTCGCTAAAAATGTTGAAATTAAACCTTCACTAAAAATTCTGCTTATAAGGCACTGTAGATTTCTACAGATACACAAGGAATTCATAATCACAAAATTTAGCAAGAAGCACCACTCGCGCAATAAAATTACTCGCTTTCCTTTTTATGGTGTTGAAATCAATGTAAAATCTCTTAATCAACCATCAACCCACGAATCATTATTCTAGCGATTTAACGGTTAAGAGCCATTTTGTGATAATAAGTACTCTCATAAATTAAGGAATCTATAGTATACCAAACTTTTGTAAGTTTTTGACAGGGGAGGTAAGTGTTACCTGAGTTTTCCTACGTAGGCCTCGCCTCCCCTTGACAGATCTGTAGGGTCGGTGGAGATCAGGTAGTTTGAGGTTTTACTCTTCTTCCTCTTTCTACCAGCCAGTAAAAACACCTTAAAAAGGAATACACATGTAGAAACAGGGCAAAGGAGATTAAAACACCTAGAAACATGAACTCAAAAGCTTATACAGTAAACCTCAAATATAACGAAGTCACTGGGACCTATGAAATTACTTCACTATATCCGTAATTTGTTAAATTTATATAGCTGGGGATCCAAGGTAACTTTGCTATATCCGTGAATTCATCATCTCTGTGTTCATACTAAACAAGATTTACTGTACAAAGAAAACATTGCATACTGTACTGATTTGTGGTCAGGCTAACCCTTTTAATAAAATTTCACACAAAAGATGTGTACCCCTAATTATATCAATGTATTTACCTTAATTAGTAAAAGAAAACATAATAATTCATTAAAAAAAATTGTGATGCTTGTTTAAAACAACCTCAAAATGAACTTGCATTAAACCACTAACCTTTTTGCCATCATCTTTCTCTAAATGGAGAAAGTAAGTGGGATAAATTCCTCGATCCACACCTTTTTTGTCTCTTGTGATCCGGCACTTCATAACGTGACCTTGAGGGGCTGGCCTGAGGACAAAATCGTCCAGGTTTTCCGTGAGCTCTGGTGAGTAGTCTCGACCCTCCGCACCTCCTGGTGTATCGTCTTGATCATCATTCTGCAGGGGAAAAAAATTCAACCTCAATCAGTAATCAAAATTATCCCTAAAACATTCATAAAAAAATAGTGCACAGTTGCAAAGACAACTTAGGATTTAGGAAATCAATCATTTGTTGATGTAGTGATTGAAAGATTGATTATATCCTAAAAAAGATTTTTACTGTCGTGGGACTTGCTGGGTACTACAGGGGGTGGGAGTGGAGGTACTCAGACACCTTATTGTAGAAGGCCATTGTTTTGAGATTTTTACTGCTGAGAACTTGCTGGGTACTACAGGGTACTCACCTCATTATTGTAGGTGGCCATCTGTTTGAGATTTTTACTGCTTGGGGACTTGCGGGGTACTCACCTCATTGTTGTAGGTGGCCATCTGTTTGAGGTTTTTACTGCTGGGGGACTTGCTGGGTACTACGGGGGCACTGGTCTCATCCACTCCGTCGTCTTCCTCCTCCTCCTCTGGCTGCTGGAATCCCTGGACTGGCTGACTGCCCGCCTTCTGTCGCTGTTTCTGCTGAGCTGCGGGAGGTATCGGGGATCGCCCTCCAGAACGATCGCCGCTGGTACTAGGGGGCGGCGGCGGCCGATTAGGGGCAGCTTTTTTGTTTTTCTGCCTTTGGCCTTTGCTAGGTTTGTTTGAGTTTTCTGGAAATAAAAATTATAGTATGGTTAGAGAATGGAATCAAGGATAAATGGACGATAATAAAAAAAAAAATCATCCAAATATTTTGTCCTTAATTTGAAAAGCATCTTTATTTTTTTAAAGATATTTAATTTGCACATGTGAAAATGAAAAAAATCAACAATTCTTAATTTTTTTTAAAAAATCAATCATACAGAAGTTTTAACATGACTTTTTTTTGTTAGTATCTAAAGGAAACCAAGGATAATAAGTAACAATAGGAAAAAAATGGAAAGCTCTTACAATGAATTCTGTTGGCTTTTTATTACATAATTATCTTTAAAAAAATTTTAATGAATGTTAAAAGACGAATATTTTAAAAGTCTAACAGTAAAAGGTAAGCTATTTCTTAAAAAAGAAGAAAAAAATTAGAGAATCCTGAAAAAGAAATTAAATAGAAATGCACTCATTCATATCTCATAAACACCTTCTTGTTGAACTCTTAATTATTATATACAAGCCAGGGTAGTATATTAAACAAAGGTTTGAGTTGGAAAATGGGGTGGGGGGTCCCAAGTCACAAGTTCTTTATATATCAATCAAATCTCTGGTCCATTGAACACTAATCACAAATAAATGCATGATGAAAGCATATGATCCATCAGGAAACATATTCTACCAATACCTATGATCATTATTGTAAACTTAGATACTGGAAAATCAAACTCAAAGTTCTTACAATAACAACTTGTCAGGGAAATCTCAGCTCCAGTGAATGTATCAAAATAGAAGAAAATACTCCAAGGTCATATCATAACTCCACCATCCAAAAAGCCAAAGAAAACCATGTGTTTGGTAATTATAATAATCAGTACAATTTTTTTTTTCTTGTAGGTATTGAGACTACATGGACCAGATACAAGTAGCTGCAACATTCAAATGTTACAGTCTAAAAGGTGTCCTACTATTATACTAGTATGTAAAAAAATTAATTTTCATTTCACTTTCAATAAATCTCTAGTGCTACATGTAAAACCAGTCCATACTGGTCTTTCAGTGTTCGGTAACAACAATAATAGCATATGTCATCATCAACAGGTGAATGCCCCCATACACTGTACCCAACGTGTTTACATTTTTACCTTCCAGTTGACGAGCCAGAATTTCCTCTTCATCTGGATCATAATGAAATGCTTCGTTAGTCCTGTACGCACTCTTGTAATCGGGAGAATACTGCCCACCCACAGAATTGGCTTCTGCCATATTTATGTCCTTTTTTTCACTTAATACAACTCCAAATGGGCTTTCTGCCTTAGAATTCTCACATTATGAGAGAGTGTGACCAATGGACAACACAGTGCGAAAAGGGTTTTTTTAAAAAAAAAAAGCTTCCCAGTGTGATATTTTTCTTTTGACAGGTGAAGGAACGAGTTCAGAAATGGCTCACTTCCTGTTAATTAGCTATAATCAATTCCAGCAAATTAAGCAAGAATCAATGCAACTCAATTTATCCAAGCAAGGAAAAAAACATCAACTCATCCTCGATCAATTGCAAAAACTTTGCCCCTATTCTTCCGATACTTTTTCCTCTTTTAATTTTGTTATTAAATACACAATTGACAAGCCAGGGCATGCTAATCAATGTTATAAGATCTCCTCTGCCAAAAAATGGATGTTCACCGAGCATGCATTAAGGGAAAAAAAAGGAACCCTTTAATAACAGTTTAAATGCTTTTGGAACCAATTCGATGAATAACGTCACAGTATGTCGTCTTGTGAAATGTCTATAATATACCTCTGGTAGTGCCTCTCCAAGCAGAAACACTGTAGACAAAAAAAAAATCTGTGATCTTATGCTCTGGAAGACGTTACACAAAATAACGTTACTGAAACTTTTGGCTTGTCTAATGATTAACTTGTGACCTTGTCTTGTTTTAATGTGGTCAAGTAAGACAAATATCTAATGTTTGTTTTCACTGATAATTGCTTATCAGGGACATTAATCACACGAGTCCAAATTTCATTGATCAGGACAAACATTTAATGTTCAATCACATTATTCAAATATCTTTAGCCAAGCTAGAACTTCAAAGAAAGAAGAAGATATGCATCACTATAGAAATGATGCACATAGGACAATCAATATTAGAAGAATATGGAAATATCCAGTTAAAAAACTTTTCCAATTTGCCAATATTACTTTTGTTTGATTTTTTTGCAAGATAGCATACTTCAGTTTTTATTGTACTGTTATCGAGAACAACTAACTTTTTGATCATCACTGAAAAGCAAATTAAAGAGCCAAAAATGCACATATGAAATAAACATTTAAAAAAAAAAAGGGGAGGGGGAGATAGAATTGTGTATTCCTGCAGAAAATAGGTCAAACATTTTACTTTAATCAGTATTCAAACATTCATATCAACCTGTCTCTCACTGAATGCAACTCCAGACTGATAGCTGCCATGTTACATAAAGGAATGTACAAGTAAGAAAGAAGATATGCCCTTTTGACCCTATAGTTAAATACCTCCAGTCCTGGACAGGACATAAGTGCATTTGAATACAAGTCCTGAACAGTACAAAGTCCATTTGAGTACCACCAATCCAAAACAGGACATAAGTCCATTTGAATACCACCAGTCCATGATACAAAATAAGTCCATTTGAGTACATGTACCACCAATCCCCAAAGGACATAAATCCATATGAATACCACCAGTCCATGATAGGACATAAGTCCATTTTAATCCCACCAGTCCATGACATGCAACAAGTCCATTTCAATACCACCAATCCCCAACAGGACATAAGTCCATATGAATACCACCAGTCCATGATAGGACATAAGTCCATTTGAGGACCACCAATCCACTGCAGGACATAAGTCCATTTGAGCTACTGCTATGGATATCAGGAGACAAAGGTATATGTTGCAGACAGCAGCCATTGCTCATTTACAAGTACAATGCAGCCTAGGACATATTAAAGTGGAATACGCATTCGACAGAATGCTCGAGGTATTTTACTAGGACTTGAACCAACAACCAAAGAAAGGATAGAATTTTTCATTTAACCACTGGAATAAAAAAAATATGTTGACCTTAATGTCAGGAGATTTGATCTGTATGTTAAATTTTTGTTCCCAAACTTAAGTAACTTTCAAATATAGACCACAAACACATAAAGATTACTTTTTCTCAAATACTTAGAACTACCCACAAGGCTTTAAAAAGTTGATGTTTTTGTTTTTCACAACAATAATGGGGAAGAAAAAAAATTTCAATATTATGGTTAATAACTAGGCTGAATATTTTTCAAGTCCAAGTCACTTTAGGCAAACACAGAAAATACATATGACCACATAATACAAAATCACTTGCCTATAGATAGTATAAATATACACGTGAACATCTGCAACAAGCAATTATCATAGGTTTCTACTGATAAGCAACTAAATGCATGCATAAACTACTTGTTACATCTCAGGACATGGTAATAATAAAGAAAACTATAACAGTGTTAGTAAACCCCTCTTAAAAACTGAAAAATTCTCCCACCAGAAGTGTTAGTTTAAGTGTGACCGCTTAGATTCAAGTCTGTGATTCTCAACTTTAAACTTATAATAGCTAAAATTTTATGAATAAATAATTTTAGGTGTAGTAACAGAAAAAAACATCTTCATTTTAAATGCTTAAATTGTTAATTTTTTTCCAATATTATGGCTGAGCCTTTTAAGAAACCAGGAAAATATGAATTATATATATATATATATATATATTTGAATTATATGTTAACTTTATATGAAAATATGAAAATTGAAAAAAAAAAATTTAAATAATTTTTAGCTTTCATCTCAGTCGATCGGATGTTCCCTTTCTCCCTTTAAAAAAACCCCGCCATCATTCAGAACTGAATAAATAACAAAAAACTAACGCTACAACTAGCGGTGTTATAAAATGACATGTTAGCTATACAGGCCCGCAGCAACAAGACACTGGAAGATTTAGGTTCAGGGTGTACCTGCATCCAACATGGGGATATCGTCCACATCGGAATCGTTGTCTGGCTGTCGGTCGTCCGCCCCCGTGATCATGATCTCGGGGGTGCGGGATCGTGACCCGGCATTCTTTGAGAGGGAGGAGGAGGAGGTATTTGGAGTAAGGGCCGTCCACTGCCCTCCGCCCCCTGATTTGCCCGGGCCTTTCTTGTTTTTGTCTTTCCGCCTTTTGTTTGATTCCTCACCTAATGTTTTGGGAGATGATCATGAGAACTTATTTTTTTTTCGTTTTTTTTTTATTTTTAAGTCACACTTAAGAAATTTTGGAGCCAGAACTTTAATTCGAAACTAATTGCTAGATCAACATTCATAACTTTTTTGATGATATAAATCACATACTTCCATTGTCTAAATAAAATAAGATAATAAATACATATACATTCCTCATTGAAAAAATTACATGCATAACATAGAAAGCATACGGGTTGATAATTTGAAGTTAACATTTATATAGGTTTACAATCATCATGCAATTAATTCTCCTTTTCCTATGTTTCCTTCCCATCACCAATAATAATAATATTAGATTAAACCATATATAGCACCAAATTTCTTTCCAGAGCTACTTAAATTCTGCATTGAAGGTCAGTTTTTCATAACTGACCCAGCCATATTTCATGTTTCAACTGTGTAAATCCTAGCAAAGAAAGTATTCTAAAACCATGATAAAAGCCAGTAAGAACTTTATAGTCACTGTCATACATGTTCTTAACATAATCATAACAGAATGTAGCTCATTGTTTATCTAAAACCACAGCAGAAATAGCTAGCTTACACCGATAAACTAAAACCATAGAACTTATTTCACTGCTATACTGAAACCATGTAGCAGAAAATATTTCACTTTTATACTGAAACTAATATCAGAATCTAGAGCTCACTGTTATACTAAAACAATAGCAGTACAAAATATCTCTCAATCCAAACAGAATTTAGATTCGTAATACGCAAATGACACCTGGACCATAGTGACATATTTTTTCCAAATAACAGCAACAGAAAATTTTGAAACATTTAATGTACCGGCCGGTAGAATTGAATATACAAACATTCAAATGAAAGTACACCCAAATGAGTTCATGGGCAGCTACATTCAAGTCTGAATGAAAAAAAAAATATGCGACAACTAAATTTCAAATTTATGAGATTTAATTTCTTTTAAGTTCCTTCCTCGATTTTTCACAAAACTTATGTATAAGCCCTTATAATCTTCAAAAAAAAAAAAAAAAAAAAACATCCCCACATTTTGAATGGAAAAAATACATTCAACCATCGTTATTTTTGATTTAGTGGTCTGGCTCCCCTACCTTGATTTATGATGGGAATGTCCTGGATATCGCTATCTGGGTCGTCGCTGTAGCTGTCCTCCGTTACGTTGAGGACCGGATACGAGCCGTCGTTACGACGAAGGTTTGGCGAGTGGCTACGAATTTCCTCCTCATCCTCGAAACCCGCAGGACCGATGTATTCTACAAAACACGAAATATGACGTGAGAATATTTAATTGAAGGTCATCACTCAAATAAATAAATCATGATTAATAATCATTGATAATTGTATTAATATCATTGCTTTCAATTCTCATTCATAATATAAATTTCATAAGATTAATTTCATAAGATTTTTTTAGTAAAAAATTCAAATTTAAACCATATAAATATAGATTCAAATTACAATATTATAATGAAATTTCAATATTCAAAATTAGGATCACTATAATCTCAACTTAAAAAAAGAAAAAAATATACATTGTTATGAACTGATCCTTATAAGTTTACTGATAAGTCTTATGTGAGTATGCAATATAATACGTAAATATAATATATACAAATACATTACTAAAAGCCTGTTTATTTACTCCTTCCTCCGATTTTTTTTTTAAGAAAGAAAATCTCAAAAGAAGTTAAATTAAAAAATATAATGATTTTGAACAAATAAAAAACAAAAAGTTAAGTTGATAAGTAATAACATTTTTACAGTCAATATTTTACAGATTAAAGTGGTATTATTTGAAATACATGCCTTGTACATGCCTATCTAAAAATTTCATATAGTTTTAGACCCTCAGCTAAAGAGCATCAGTCTGTTCAAGAAATCTTCAGATAGAAGGCATATACCAGGACCATGTTGCCTGAAGATACTGCTGTTGGTGACTTGATGATATATCATACAGTGTTAAATTTTATGAAATCAAAGAGGAATACCGGTGAGAGGGATTTCCCCCTGATGATGATGAACAGAAGAGCCCTTAATGACTCAGGTTAGCATTGTAGCCCATGGGCTTCTTGTTAATGTATCCTTTGAGATTTTTAAAAAAATTATTTATGATATTCATTTCGAACCCCATTTACTCAAAGATGCTTTGTGCTAAGTTTGGTTGATATTGCCCTCGTGGTTTTTGAGAAGAAGGTGTAACTGTGAAGAGTCATTGTCAATGATGACTACATCAATAACATACAAACTTCTATCAGAAAAGCATTTGTGCTCAGGTGAGCTAAAAATATTTGATGGCATACAATTAATAGAAATTATTTTAAGTAATATTCATAATTAAAGAATAAATATGTTGCTTTTGAGAGAAAATGACAAATTTGAAGTATTTCATTACAAGTTTTTTTTTCTGCTATGTCAAAGAATAGAACATGCCATCATGCCGATATGCCAATAGATAAGGCTGTACCTTAATACTTTTCTTGTCTGTTAGCATGATCGTGACAAAAAAAATGAAATTGAGAATTTCTGTGGATGAGCTCTGTTCATGCAAAATGTGATTAGATTGTCAAAGAAAACTAGATTTATTAATTAAGGACCTTGGAAAGAAAAGGGGTAGGGATGGGGAGATGGAGGGGGGCATTTAAAACTTAATATTGAAGATCTGCAGTCTTCAAATGTATCACATATTAATCTATTGAGTACTGGACTATAATTACTAGGCCATTCAAAATAAATGCTACACTGGACTGAAACTTGTTAAATTCATATTACACACTAGCTTTCATGCTGGAAAGATTTAAGTAGCCAATTCATGCAAGTTCTAATAACGTTTCACTTACCATGCTCATGCTTTTCCAGTAATTTCTTTTTTGACTTGTTTTTGGCTATATTACAATAAGAACTATAATACCAAAATAAACACTTTCCAATACAGGGGGGGAGGGGCACAATTTAATTCCCTTCTATCAATTGAAAGTAACTAGGGAAAGATAGGAAAACTGTATTTTAAATGATAAACAGAAGTAAATCACTATGATAAGTTATATTCTTGAATTACATACAGACTTTCGTCTAATACTAAATTTGAGAGCTCTCTTCATCATCAATGATGATGAAAAATGATAATGGAAAAAGGATGACAAATTCACATGCACTGTGCTAAATGACAACAGAATTACAGTCAAGTGTTCACAATGGACAACACAAGTGTTCAATCGAAACTTTCTTTTTCTAATAATTTCAGTCTTGCTGTATGTATATATATCAAATTACTTCATTGCTATCAATCTCTCTCATTACATAATAATGTTAAAGATGAATTAATCATTATTGAAAATTAACTTATTTTGATCTTTTTTTTTTGGTTGTATTTTAACTTCTCTAAATCTACAAAATCTTCATTTTCAATAATCCATTATAATCTTACATGTCGTAAATTTCACTTCAAAACATTAATTAATTTCAATTTTGTAAATCTCATGAAACAAATACTCGACAACTAAACATATAGCCAGTTGTGCTCCTATTATAGACACACAAAGCTTTAGAATGACACAGATCAAGAACTGTTGATATGTTACCATGGAGATTTGTAGGGGTGGACGGTTTAGACCCCACAAGGGGTTGTGTTTCGCTGCGATGTTTGCGGCCTGACGTCGGCCGACTGTCGGGGTTGTGTTGTAATATTCCTAACTGCTGTCTCTTTTTCCGAGATTGTTCTTCAATTCGCCTTCTCTGAAAAGATGGAAAATATCGAAATTAGGAAAAAAGAAAACCTCTGCTTCAAAGTGATACTTTTTATGACCTTAAATCATCTCTTCTGAATCAAAAGTGTGTTAGCTATTAAATACTCCCCCCACGTTCAGAGACACTAATAAGTACAATGATAAAAGCAGAACCTATTTTCTACATGCTTTTCTTTCATTCTAAATGTGACATCTGATATGTTTTGCTTCATGGTTGGTCATGAGCAATTTTTCACTTCATAAATCTCAAGTACATATTAAAAAGACATAAGAAAACATTGGCTAAAATCAAATTTACTTCTACATTAAAAAAAAACGCAACACACCTCCAAAATTAAATGTTATGTACATATATTTTCTTCAATACTTGAAAGTAAGTTGCAATTTGACTAGAATCACTATGGCAAAAATGATTTTTATTTTTAGATTACATGACTGTTTGCTTTTATTGCCTATCCAATTGCATGTACAACCTTTCAAGTATGTAATAAACTTTTCAATTAAATCCATTGTTTTTATGACTTGGCTTCATTAGGCATTCTAGTTTTACCGGTATTAGAAGACCAGAAACTAGCTTTCTTACAAATTTTATTCTTGACAATTTCATCTAGAAAACTTTTTTTCCAAAGAAAAAGTTCTGTCCTGCTTATGAAAATCACCAAACATACCTCTTTTTCCAACTTCTTCTGTTGTACATTGAAGTTATCATGATCTTGAATGCTGAAAAAACAAACAAAATCCTTGAATATCAAAAAATGCTTTTATTTTGCATCAAAAAGAAGCTTGAGTGATAGATTGTTGGGTTTTGAACCCCATGTCTCCCTTCCGACTCCGATACTGATCAAAATGCTTTGGTAGTCTTAGTGAAAGATAAGACCTTAACACAAACTAGAAAACTGACCAGTCAGCAAGGGCCCCACTGAGGGGTAGAAATATAAGGGTGCAGGCTCACTGAATGAGAGTTTTACTTGATTACATTTTTTTTAATATATGAAGATTGTAAGTAACAACTGTATTTTTGAAATTTCAAGATATTTCCTGAATGTCCAGACATAGGTAATCAGAGATTACAGAGCTCACCTCAACGAATGTTGTCTTTAAGTAAGGCAAATTAAGTCACACAATTAACCAACAAAAAGTGTACATCCAAAAATGCAAAATTTATGCAATTTTGATACTTTGGAATATACCTATATAAAAACTTAAAACTAGTTCATCATGAAAATCTAATTAAAATCCAGCATCTGAAGCAAGATTGAGAGTTTTTATCCCTTGATGCATCATTTGTGCAACTTTGGTTTATATAAGCCTTATAGTTTCTTGGTGATAGACCTGCACCCATAACTTTTACGAGGTCTATTATCTGGAAAATGTATGTCAAATTCAGTATCTGAAGCAAGTTCATTAGTGTGCATCCTAAGATGTATCATCCATGCAAGTTTGTTCAACATAGAGCTCAAAGTTACATGGAATTGAAACCTGTATAAAAAACTAACCTTTTCACTAATCCGGAAAATGTAGGTCAGATTCAGCTTCTGAAGCCAGCCTAGTAGAATGCACCCTTAGATGTACCATCCATGCAAGTTTGGTCATTATAGGGCTCAAAGTTACTTGGAAATGAATCCTGCACCATAAACTTTAATCTGTTTACTCGTCCAGAAAAGGTAGGTCAGATTCAGCATCTGAAGCAAGTCTGGTAGTATGCATCCTAAGATGTACCATCCATGCAAGTTTAGTCATTATAGGGTTCATAGTACCTTGGAAATGAAACCTGCACCAAAAATTTTAACCTGTTCACTCAACCGGAAAATGTAGGTCAGATTCAGCATCCGAAGCAAGTCTTGTAATATGCATCCTAAGATGTACAATCCATGCAAGTTTGGTCATTATATGTCACATAGTAACTTGGAAATGAAACCTGCACCAACTTCTTTAATCTGTTCTCTCATCTTGAAAATGTAGGTCAGATTCAGCATCCGAAGCAAGACTCGTAGTATGCATCCTAAGATGTACAATCCATGCAAGTTTGGTCATTATATATCTCATAGAAACTTGGAAATGAAACCTGCAACAAAAACTTTAACCTGTTCACTCAACCAGAAAATGTAGGTCAGATTCAGCATCCGAAGCAAGTCTAGTAATATGCATCCTAAGATGTACCATCCATGCAAGTTTGGTCATTATAGGGCTCATAGTATCTTTGAAATGAAATTTGCACCGAAAACATAAACCTGTTCACTCATGCGGAAAATGTAGGTCAGATTCAGCATCCGAAGCAAGACTGGTAGTATGCATCCTAAGATGTACCATCCACGTAAGTTTGGTCAACATAGGGCTTATAGTTACTCGGAAATGAGACCTACACCAAAAACTGCACCAAAAATGTTAACCTGCACCAAAAACATTAACCTGGTCATTCCTTTGCTGAAATTGCAGCATCTGAAACTTTGACTGGTACAATGAAACACACTAGAAACATCTTCCATGCATGTCTAATCAATATAGGACATAGAAGTACTTAAAAAGAAAACTGCTCCAAAAAACTTAACCTTAACCCGGGACGCCGACGCCGAGGGTATCACATAAGCTCCCCCCAACTTCGTTGAGGTGAGCTAAAAACCTGTAAATAGTAACCTTGTATGAACATAAAACAGGGAAAACCTCATGTCTTATAAAAAAAAAACTAAATTTAATGTGTATTTAAAAAAGATTTAAGCCAGTGTTTTATAAATTGCAAGCCTTCAGTGAATTACAAATATCACCCAGGGTTGACCTCAACTTCAAAACAAACATCAGTTGCAGACACTGACAAAATTGTTCATTAATCTTCATGTAACAGATAAAGATAAGCCTCTAAATTTTCTGCAGCAAGCAAGATAATTAATCCCGGGGGATTAATTGTACTGCATGCTCTCCCATCCTTTTCTTCTAAATTCACAATAAGAATTTTTTTCAGCACTGATAGAATGGGGTTATTATCTGATTTTCTGTTAAAATTAACAGCATTAATGCAGCAAAAAAATTAAATCAAATAAATAATTAAAAAAATAAAATTATAATAATAAAAAAGGATATCTTAATATATATCCTGATTTTAGAATTCAATTATGAATAATATTATCATAAATTGTTGTGTACAGTATTTTAACCAAAATAAAGTATGAACATTATTTTAAATCCATATTTCAAAGAATGTACACATCATTCAAAATTGACCTTAACTTCAAAACAAAGTTCATTGCAGACAGAGGCGGTACAGTAATTAATCTCAATGTGACAGATAAAGATAATGCTTAGGATTTTCTTCATGTGGAAGGTTAATTAATCCCAAAGGACAAATTGCACAGCCTTCCCAGTTTACAATGGTAACATTCTCAGCAGTTATCTCTCTTTGCCCATTCATTCTTATGCATAGTTAAGGAATATACCCCACCACCCCAGCTCCAAACCAGAAGACACAGAGAACCCAACTTAGCATCAAAATATGTATTTCTGCCTACTGAACTACCATACCAAATTTGAACCTGATTGGGCAACCTTAAAAAAAGTTATTAGAAAAAAACAGAAAATTTGTGGACGGAAGAGTGACAGACGGACAGCTAGACAGACAGACGGACTATAGGGCACCCGCAAATCTTTGCGGGGCCCTAATAAGAGGCCAAATTTGCCCAACAAAGTACAAGCATATACATATCACTACAGTACTATGTTTAAATATGAAAGGCAGTTGCTCCAAGTACCCCCCCCCTTTCCAAGTAAGGGGCATGATATAAACAAACTTGCATCTTAAGCAGGTTTTTTAAAAAGACGAAATTAATTTTTTTTTAATAAATTCTTAGATATCTCCCCTTGAATGACAACATGGGCATTTAAATGAACAAACTTGAAATCCCTTTTTGCAAGTTAGGTTGAAATTGGCTCAGTCAGGTTCTGGAGGAATATAACAATGAAAAAAGTTTATAAACTTCTAAACAGACTGATAGCATGTGACATCTGACAGGCAACAGACGAACACACAGTTTGGCACCAGCTACTTTTCAATCAGAAAAGCTCAATTGACCAGCCACTTATATTCAATAAGAAAAGCTCACTTAAGCCTTTATCCCAAAGGAACCAAAAAACTAACAGACAATAAGGAAAGGATTTATATGGTCACCAGTAGACAACGCAATAATGAAAGACAGATCTTTAGGTGAAACTTTAAACAGCCTACCTGACCACTATCTATATTTGATTAATAAAGTTGACTAATTACCTGCCAGGTGGGCCACTCATTGTCCACTGATGATTCTCTTCAAAATCTTGTCTGCAAATAAAAGAAAAAAAAAGTTCTATAAATTATCATACAATATAGTCATTTAACCTTTCTATCAACATTTTACAAAATTAACTATTTCCTGAATCAATGCTTTCAATGATGGAGTCATAAGCATGTGATGAAATCAAACATGCATGTACATTTACATAACAATACAACGTACTGTAATAGTTATGCTTTCAGTGCAGTTGGTGACAAAATACATTTAATGATTTTCTGATGCTTTTATCATACACACTGCCATAAATAAGTGCCTCAAAGGGAAATACCTTTTTTCTCTAATACACACTGCCATTATTTTTATAACAATGCACATTAATTGTCTAACACATCATTATATCGTACTGTACTTTTGAATAATGGTTTTCAATGAGATTAATGCTAGCCTCAGAATTTGTTTTTTAGCTTAAAGTACAAAAACAAAATCAATAGGTCTCAATAAAGAGGGTGAAAATTAATATCTAGTCTAAAAAAAAAAGATGGGGCAAATACATTCTCTTATTTTTCTTCCATGTTTCCCTTTACCATCATGCCCCCCCCCCTCCATCCCAAGTATGAGGGCACAGGCACATGGGATTCCCAAATATTTTTTTAGCATATAGTAACTGGTCCTTTATAAATATAAGATAATTACAACCATGAAACTATCTATGAATAAATAATAACATTTTTTCAGCAAACTTATAACTTACTTGATTTAATCAAGGCAAATTGGCTTTTCTTTCAGAAAAAAAAATCAATATCCTTGTGTTAGAATAAAACAATACACTGAATTAACACACTTTTTGATTAGGTCACTTCTAATTTCCCAAGGCATTAGGCAAGTTCCCTGTTCAAAGTAGTTCTGTTTAAATAACACTGCATTAAAAATTGTACTTTTTTATATCTACAATGTAGTCCATGCCTTTTCTTTGATGCTGGCCCTTGCAGAGAAAATGTTAATTGCACAGCTAAACAATTATAATCAATTTAATTAATCAGCTCATTATTTGATTACTTGTTCCTGCTAGATGTTTGTCAATGTATCTGACAAGTGCCTCACTTTATGTTCAATGGGTGACATGTCTCGTTAATTATTGAAATAATTAACACCTACTAATTAATGAACACCTATCACTTCCCAGTTGCAGAAAAAGTAGACTGAAAATTTACCTTTCTTAAATTAAAAAAAAAAAAAAATGTTTTACTTCAGTAAATCCTTTAAATATTTTTTTGGGGTTTACTATATAGTTATTCATTTAATTAATTAAAAAATAATCATGATGATAATAATTAATAAAGTGCCCTGCCACAGCATGATACGCCCGTCAAGTATTGTTCAATAATCATATATTGGTTAGGATGCAAGAAAATCAGGTAGCCTTGATTAACAGATTGACACAGATTTCAATGATTTAAGGTAATTTCACCCTCCTATGATGTCATAGGTTTTTGCAAAAACTGTAATTAGTTTAAATTCATACCTTATAGAAAAATATCTCTTGGAAGAATGCTTTACAAATTAGGTGTAATGATAAATATTGTTTAGTTAAAGAATTTAAAAAATGCATATTTTCTATATTTAATCAATTATTCAATCTTTAAAAAATGTTTACAAGGGCAATAACTCCTTCTAAGGTCTCTTCATTTAGGCATTTGCTTTTCTGTAAAATAGTTTACCTGATATTAACAATTCAAAAGTATCTTTTAAGTAGGAAGTATTTAGGAACACTCGGCATCAGAATTATGCATTTTAACCAGTTTTTACATATTTTTCTCAATACTGTTTACAAAAAATGTACAATTTTTTTATGTTGACATACACTTCTGTTTATTTATATGTTTAGCATCTTAAATAATATGGTGACCCATACATTTTTTGCAATAAATGGAAAGTTTTAAGTATATTGAATGAAAATAAATGCAGTTTTTGTACTTTGAACCTATAAAATTGTAAGGGTGGAAATTCCTTAATTTCCATTTCTTATCATACATCTCTAAGAGACCTGCAGTGTAGGGATTAATTATAAAAAATACATCATATAACTCTAAACTGGTTGTGTTAGAGCATAACAAATATCCATCTGCAGCTTACTTAAACTTAAACTTAAATTGTTTATTGCATATATTTTATGAAATAATAGAAATACTACAGTTTAATAAAAAAAATCAAACATAAATTATAATTTCTTCACACTATAAAAATAAAAGTGAGACATGACTGCTATTTGTTGCAAATATATAAAAATTGATTCAGAAATATATATATATTTTTTCAATGAACACATGTATAATTAGTTTTAATTATATTATACAATACTAATTTAGTTTTAATCATACACTAAAACATAAATTTGATTTAATTACATTACACCAATTGGAAGATCTTTATCTGGACTAGCCATCAAGAACTCTTAATTACCACAAGCAACTAAGAGGCCATTTCTTTTTGCCCAACTCTCAAGAGATAAATTAAGATAACAGCTGCACCAGATCTAGAGATACTCTTAGCTCCTGACAATAAACTCATTAATTTCTCTCTAATTTGACATGCAAGTTTCTGCTATCAAAATTCTTCTTGACCAGTGCTTGATAATTATGCCCATGGGACAAACTGAATTCCTCTCAAAGCATATAAACATTTGTTACAGATTGCTGTAAAGTATATAATGAAAAAATAAGTTTTTACTTAATTTAACATTTTTTAATAAGGATACAACTATATTTTTACATTTTTTTGGATTATAAAATTTAAAATTTTAAAGACTTAGTTTTTAAAAAAAAAAATCACTTAAATTAAAGGTCACAGTGACCTTGAAATAGGCCGCGACACACCTTCTACTTTAGCTGTATACTTTTGCCAAGTTTGAAAGCTCTAGGTCTCATAGTTTTCTAGTTATGAACCGGAGAGGATTTTTCCATATTTGGCTATAGCATCTTTATTAAAGGTCAGAGTGACCTACTTTTTGTGCGCGACACACCTTCTACCCAAGATGCATCAGCTGACAAAGTTTGGTAACTCTAGGCCTAATAGTATTAAAGTTATGAGCCGGACACGAGAAAAGCTAACAGACGGACAGACGGACGGACAGACGGACGGACACGAAGCCTATAACATAATACGTCCCGTCTTAAGACGGGCGTATAATTACGAATTATTTGCATCAACTTGAAATTTGTGTCTCATGGAGACCGAATTTTATTTTTAATATGCACATAAAACCAGTTGATAATTCATACAAAATGAGACTTAATTTTTTTTTATATTCCTGTCATATTATTAGAAAAATAATGCCATTCTCTGGCTATTATTTCTGGGATACAATATTAATATGTCAACCTTAATTCCCCTCTTTATACATGTAATATTAATTTCTTCACACACAATAAAGATAAACTTAATGATAAAATTCAATGTAAACATATGTTTATTTGGCTCCTATATCTTAATTTTTATGAGGCAAATATGAAACTGTCACATATAAAACAAAATGCTTACGATAACCGATCTATTCAAGAGTTAGATGCTCTGGATGATTTAATGGCGTTGGGATAAGCCAAGTACCCTTCATTTTATTGTATTCATATGTTTGCCTCCCTCCTATACCAAACCCTAGTAAGAATAGATGAAACCTCTCTAGAAGTCTCAAATAAAGACAAAGTCAGGTAGATCATCTCTCAACTCTAGGATGATCCTATCTCATTTTACAAATCATTATTAATTTAAAACAAAAAGTCTTTTGGGAGGCTAATTTTTCCATTTCAATTAATTTACTTTATTATTTCAAAAAAGATTATCAAAACGGTAACGGTGTCATGCAGTTCCTATGCAAAGTGACTGTAAAACTATTATACAGTGGACCCTCATTTATCCGGACACTTTGGTTCCCAGTCAATTTGTCCGGATATGTGAAGCATCCGGATATCTGAATCACCAGTTTAACAAAACATAATAACATTTAAAAATATCGTTCCGATGAAAAATCGTCCGGATACTGAAGCATCCGGATATCTGGCGTCCGGATATCTGAAGGTCCACTGTACATCTGTATCAGTTTCTTGTTTCTCTTTTATTTGGCTCGACGATCTCCCTCTCTTTTCATCAACTACTGTAAACGTATTCCATTTAGCGGTGTATTCTATTTAGCGGTTTTGGCGAAAAGCAGAATCCGCTAATTCAAGTACATCTCTAAATGATGTGTATATTAACTTTTCTAATTAGCAAATTCAGACAGCATTAAAAGTACATCGCTAAATGTCTTGTATAATTATTAACTTTTATATTTACTTAAACAAATTCAGACAGCCTTATATCAAATCTACACTAACTTGTTGAAAATTGAATTTCCGCCAAATATCATACACGCCAAATGTAATACATTTACAGTATGTTTACAGCCTGGAATTGCATGCTTTCCTTTACATGAAGTCACATAATTCAACCAAAACTAGTCAACAACAGGCCAAACTATTTCTTGAAAAAGGCTTGGGTGTGACCTTAAAACAACCCCCCCCCAAAAAAAAACAACCTTGAAAGCAAATTTTTCTTTACTGCATGTATGTTAATCCTCTAACATTTAAGAAGGCACTAATATGGACTTATGTGTTGGCTTAAATTCACCAGCATAGCATGTCTGTAAGGATATTTAAAATAGAATCACATTTATTTCCTTAAGAACTGCTTGAGTAAGCTTATATATAGCTACTACAATTTGCTAGTGAGCATGACAGTATTGGCTGAAGTTGAAAAATAATCTAGATTTCAGACCTTTACACATGCAACCTTTAATTTGTCTAGTTCTTTGCAAAAAAAAAAATCAGAAATAATGAAATCACCAATTGTTGTGATAGTTCTTGTCATAGTATATCCCCCCCCAAAGAAAAATGAGTTCCTCCATTCTAAAAAAATACACTGCTTCAAAATGAACCATAAAATATTTCGAAAGAAAATCATTTCCAGGCCAATCAAAATCTAATTTTATAATCAAACCATTAATTTTGATAAAGAG